TTACCACAAGAAAAAATATCAAGAAAACAATGTGCTTGGAAGAATGAGGTAAATGTTGAAAATTGCGCTGGAAAACTTACACGTGTATATCTCCTTGTTCATCAGTAACATTCATGTCTGTGTCAGAGATCAAAGCGAAGGGAGAATTCACGCCAAGTTTTCTGCTTATCATGCTACCAAAAGGAATTACCTAAAAGAAAACACCTGCAGCTGATCACCTTAAATACTGAAAAAAAAGTGTTGACTACTTGATTAGCAAGAAGAAGTAGCACAGTCACGGTTGAAAACAGAATGAGTAGAAAAGAGTATCAGATAAATATAGGCTTCACAATATAAAGTCAGGTACTTCTAGATAGCTTTTGCAATCATGACAGTTAAGCCATATAGGTGACAGTTATTGCAATCGTCCCTAAAAGTTTTATCAACTATAAAAATGTCAAAAATAACAAAAAGCAAACCTTTATTCCAAACATTTGGGGTCGGCTACATGGCTCTTTTTTCTTCATTCAACTATGTTACGGCCATCTCTGTTTATTAAACAGATACAATCTCCTTTTTACTGCTTCCATTCATGGCCTTTCAGCTCTACCGCTGCTCCTTCTCACCATCCTCTTAACAGGTCCACTTGTCCCATCCATTGCACATGTTTAAACCATCTCAAATGATTTATCTCTCATCTAATCCTCAACTGAAACAACCTGTAACCACTCATACACACATTCATGTCCATTCTTTAGTTTTGCTGCCACTTGTCCCTCTCTCTCTATTTTCATTTCTACTACACCTATTTTCTTAATATGTTGTTTGTTCATTTCCCAATCGTGTAACTTAAGGCAGAACTGGATGTGTAGACATTTTAAAAAATTTCCTTTCAACTTCAAGGGCATGATATGGTCAAACAGTACTTCAAATGCACGTCGACTTTGACCATTCTATTTGGTTCAATGAGAAGCATTTGTCCACAATCACACCATCAGATTAACCCAAAGTGATACGAGTGTATCTTCTCTGCTTCGGGAACTTAGCGATCTTCATGGGAGCTTGAGGATAGATGATTCTCTTGGTAGCTTGAGAATGGAAACGACGAATGGAAACGGTGAAAATCAAGAAATAACAAATCTGGCAAACAAGCTTTGATCGGTCGACTGATAAACAGTATCAGTCGACCGATGAACAGTATCAATTGACCGATGAACAGTATGAGTCGACCGATGAACATGCACACTACAGGTTAGAAAACAACCGCTCTGGACAGTCGACCGATCTCACCTATCGGTCGACTGATGAAGACCTATCGGTCGACTGATAGCGGGTTCCTGAGGCCAGTTTGGATTCTTAGCCTGTTTTGATTTTTTTAGGGTTTATATATATCTAAACCCTATTGATTTGGGGTTCCTGAGTGGGAAATCTGAGAGTTTAGAGAATAAAGAGAATTGTTCTTTATTCTAGAGAGATTGTAAGGAAGAGATTTGTAATCTACTGTTCTTCATAATCTAAAGAATGTATTTTCCTTTGTCATATTGAATTGTTCTTGTGTTTTTCTTTTTTTGCTATTTTCTTCACAAAGACATATTTGATAATTCCGCAATCAAAGGTACTCACACGGCGACTCGTATCAAGTTAGTATCAGAGCAATCAGATCCTGTGAAGAGCGTATCATGTGTATGGTCCTTAATTGATCGCAATACAAGAAGCTAGGTGAGATTCTTGTTTTTTTATAAAAAGCCCAGAAATCAAGAAAGAAGAAGATGGCATATAACGACAATTCATCACAACTTAATGTGGTGGAGAAGCAAATTAGACAATCAGTTCGACTCTCACGAAACTCGTTGATTTTATCTAAGGAGGCGACAAGAAGGTTGAATTTACAGCGAGGCCAAAGACGCAACCTATAGAATCCGATGGAGATAGTGAGGAGACTGGTTCTGAACAAGACGAAGTCGTCAAGACTGTTTCACATCAAGGGGGTAAGGTTTCTTACCAGAATTTAAAAATCGACTTCAGAGTGGAGATTCATGTTAATGATAGAAGTGTCAACGTTGAGAGGCTAGACGTCTGGATCGAGCGTCTAGAGACCTATTTTACTCTTTATGTCTATTCGTCTAAGAAGAAGATCGTCTTTGCGACACTGAAGCTTTCCAGACACGCGCTGACGTGGTGTAACTCCTACTACAGCAGGAGAAGAAATTTGTGTCATGGAGAAAATTTAAGGATCTGCTTAGGAAACAGTTTTATCTTGTGGGATTCCTTGAAGAGCGTTGATATAAGTGGTACGGTTTGCGCCAAAGATTCAATCAAATTGTTCAAGAATACACTACAAAATTTCAGCAGCAGACTATGATCCTAAATATTGCGATGAATGAATACCCTGTTTTTATGAAGTATATGACGGGTTTGAATGAATACATCCGGAAAGAGATGAAGCTATTCATGTTTGAGTCAATTGCGGAGGCTAGCATGAAGGCTATTGCTATTGAAGGCAAGCAGAAGAAGAGCAACGAAACGAAGGGAGATGCCAAGCAGGTTGGAGGTAAGTCTAGTGATTCCCAACCTAAAGAGGAGGAGAAGGGCGAGCCAGGAAAACCAGGACTGACTTATAGTCATTGCAAGCAGACAATTCATATCGTTAAACGGTGTTGGGAGAAGTACCCTCACCTCAAGTCGAAGGGGTTAAAGAAGGAGAAGAAGAAGGCATACGTGATAGCGTAAGGTCCGAAAGAAGTCTCAGGTATGACGGAGCCTAAGGTTTTAAATGTCGGATGTCGGGTTCATGTCGGACGGCTGAAATCCATGTCGGATAGTAAAAATCGGGGATATATCTGGAGACATGGACTAAATATCGGATTGTCATATCGGGTGGTGCTCATATGTATAATATCATGTCTTAAATATAATCTAAGCATTCATAAATTTAATATAAGCATACTTTATAAATTCTAGAGGCGACGCTGGCGATGGGTGGATTCCGACGTCGCAGGGAGATAGTGTCGAGGCTCTTCTTTCTCTGCTCGGGGTCCTTAGGATGAGTCACTGACCACCCTCTTCCCTTTATCCCGACGATGGGATACCCTGCCGCCCTCTGGTTCGATTGGGATTCGGATTTTGGGGCGTAACAGGAGATGGACGATGGGGGGGGCGAAATTGAGGTGGAGAAAGGGCGTCGTCGTTCACGAAAGGAGTGATGGGTTCCCAAGTCCACTGCAGCCCTAATTTTTCTCTTTTCTTTCTATCGGGTTCATAAGAAACTCTTAAACATGAGAACAGGTCAAACGGATTGGAGTTTTTATCACTAAACCCAAACCCGATAACAAAAAATAGATCTAAAAAAGGGTCATATCAGTCGATTTTTTAAAGCTGAAAAATCGATCGATATGCGCGATATGACCTCGATATTTTCGATTTTGCCCTAAAAACCGATATACGAGTTAAAAACGCTCATATCGTGTCGCTCAAGCCCTCAAACCGACATGTCGGACATATCGACCGACATTTAAAACCTTGACGAAGCCTAACAGCAATCTCAACATTATGGCAGGGCAACAGGCCGCAAGGGAGGACAAAGACCCCAGAGAGCATCTCTTTGTTCTCAAATTGCAAGTGAAGACCAATTTGGGAAATGTCATAGTTGATTTAGGCAATCAAAAGAATCTGATATCTGAAACCTTGGTTCAGAAGCTGGGTCTAAAGACGGTCAAGCATCCAAAGCCTTATCCATTAGGGTGGATTCAGAAAGAGACGAGAATGAGTGTAGTTCTTCAATGCACTTTCAGATTTGCACTCCATGAGTCGTATATTGACGAGGTCACTTGCGACGTAGTTCTATTAAATGTGTGTCAGTTATATTGGGCAACCCTTATTTATGGGATAGCCGGATAGGTACACAGTCTACGACATGCGGGCCTAGAAGTATACGTTCACCAAGGACGGTGAGCAGTTCATATTTTATTCTGCGTCTTTTTCGCATGAGACAAGCTTTGTGACGGTGACTCAGGCGAAGAGACTAGTGAATGCAAACAAGAAGTTTGTTTTGTTGTTTATTAGTGTAGGCGTCAAAAAATGCTGAAAGATATCCAAGCGCAGCTCAAAAGGAAGTCATCCAAAATGTCAAAAAGAAAACAAGTATAGACTGTCTCGCACGCGAGACAGACTTGACTGTCTCGCCGTGCGAGACAGTCTTTACTGTCTCGCGGACGAGACAGACTTTTACAACAAATTCAAAAGTTTGCGTCAAAAGTTGGTTTTGCTGTGGAATTCATTATATCTTCGGTCGATTATAATAAATTCAAAAGAAATAGTCTTTTTATAAGACTTCTTTTACATAACAAAATGAAAATTATAACTCTTGAGAAACAAACGCAGGATCGTTGTTTGGATCGCTGCTTGCGTGGGATCTTTGCCTGTGCCGGGAGCGCTTTGACTCGTGGACCACCAAATCACAGATTCTGATTGAATCGTGAGGGGTTTAATGATTCTTCCTTCGTTTATCGAAGTGAGAATTTGAAACGATATCTTATCAAAGTAAGATAGTCGTTCTTCTTAAGATCAAGTCAAAGCTCGAATCTCAAGGGATTGCCGAAAGCTCAAGAACTCTGCTCTGTCTGCTCTGAAGTGCTCAAAATGATCAACCCCTTTCAAAAATGACCTTCGGAGGGTATTTATAACCTCTAGGAACAGTTGGCGGAAAACAAGGTCGCGAGACAGCATTTGCTGTCTCGGCTGCTTTTGGCAGTTATCAACGTGATTCTCGCCCACGACGTTTCCCATGTTCTTGAACAGTTAGTCCTCTGAGAGCTGTCTCACGTGCGAGACAGTAAATTCTATCTCGCACGGCGAGACAGTAAAGATTGTCTCGCTGGGCGAGACAGTGAAGACTGTCTCGCGTGGGCGAGACAGTAACAAGTCTGTCTCGCGTGCGAGACAGTAAAGACTGTCTCGCATGCGAGACAGTCTATACTTGTTTTCTTTTTTACATTTTGGATGACTTCCTTTTGAGCTGCGCTTGGATATCTTTCAGTATTTTTTGACGTCTACAGATACCCCCTCCAAAGTGTTCCAAACTTATTCTTTTATAGAGGAGTCTGGGACACTTTGGATAAGACAGGTCTAATTTGTAATCCTTTCAATACTTGATTGAGTAGATCGTGTAGAAGAATCTGTAAAATGGCTTCGGCTCTTGATCTCTTCATCCAT